CGCAGCGTACACTCATTACAGCCAGGGACTCCATCGATGCCTTTCAATCACAAAAGAAATTACATAGTTAAAACTTAGTACAGACAAAGTCGCCATCTTTGTTCATACGAGTCACATATCTCGCGCATGCGTGGCGCGACGACCACGTTCCTATAAATTTAATTTGATTTTGCCCAAAAAAGCTAAAACTATGCAACGAGGTCACAGACCGAGAAATGTTATCGTTGCCGAACTTTATATATCCTGAAGTGTACGAGGACTTCATCTGTCTCAAATCCACCGTTCAAAATAAAAAAGGTTTTGCAATGAAGCATTCTGATTGGCCGAGACACACTAGTTGAGTTTATAATATAAATTGGGACCGACCCTCGTTAGTTTGAGGCAAATTTCATTTCGTAACTGACATCGGAAGTTCGAAATATTAATTATCACATTGAGTAAGAAAATTCACCAAACTGTCTCTATTTGGGTTGGCATATTGGGAATGTCTGAAAAATGCACGTTTTCTCCCCCTTTCGGTTCACGCATGTTGTAGACGGTCGATGACCAGCTGGACTGGCTCCATCCAATAAAAATGTCGGCTCCTATAAATAGACAAACATTATTGTTAGATCGTTGATTTGTAAATATGGTTATCTTGTGATTGATATACCGAATCATGTGATGTAATTCCTTTTCAAGGATATGTATAGTACCTTCTCCCTGTGGTAAACTATCAGATATATATAGAGTGATACGAGTGACATACAAGAATATGGTATTATGTGTTATCACATGCATACATTACACATGCTATATTTATATTTGACGCCAACGGTATATTTACGTATCCGGAGATGCATTGCTAACCAATTTTGAAATCAATTCAATCTGACCTTTCTGAACATTCAAAAAGTATTTTCGGGGCGGACATCCGGACAAGACTATCCCTACTTGTGTAACATGTATAAATATGGTTGCTCGGGATTACCTCATAGTTGAGTTTGCGATGTTTTCTCGACTTTAGCGGTTTTCACCGGCTGTCACCGGCGTTCCACAGCAGCTTGCGCAGAACTCATGGAAATTACATTGAACAGCGGTGCGTTTCTTAGCAAGGTAGAACGTTATGTGACGTGGCTCCGCCCCAAAACTACGAATTACTATAATTTCTAACATTTCTAGTGTAAAATCGCTAAGATATTGAGATACTGTCGTGTATTGAAGTTGGCAGTAATGATGTCAAATGTTTAATATGTAGACATCTACTCTATACATCGCGCCCTCTTACGACGAGGGGTTGCCATGGTATAAATAAATGGGGTGACATGAAGTAATGAATAGAACTGTTTACTTACTAACGGCTATTTCTTGTTGGATCATAGACATCATGTAACTGTCGTGTATGTGTTGTGCTATTCGTGGTGAAGCACTTATAATGTATTCAACACTGTATACTTTTTGAACGAGCTTTCCAACATGGTCTACGAATCGCTGAAAATAAAATACAGATATATGTTATGTTGTATAAATTAGGAACCTGAGAGCAGACACTTCTATACACTCAGTTTTAGTTGATGGATACTAATGTTGCTACTACTGTGCATCTGTGTGCAATTTTAAAGAAGCCTAAACATATTTCGTGGAGTAACCATTCTAGAATTAAAAACTAGTTTTAAGTTTCTAGAGCGTGTTCCAAGTCATTGGTTGCTATGTTGAAGACACAGTAATAAAAAATCGCATTTATTTTTCGAATTATAGAAGAAATTAAAAAAATGTTTAGTCTGTTGAAAACCATTTGGAAAACAAACATTTAAAAATATATATAGAAATCCCGCGCGCGTCATTTTTTATAAATATGTATGATATCTTAGAATTTAAAAGAACTAATACTTGAAAAAAATGACAATATTAACGCACACAAGTATCAACATACTGTTTCTATGGCAACGTATTTATACTTACATGTGAATACGGTGGGTAAGCTATAAATATACATTTATATTCGCGGTTACTAATGTACTGTGCCAGGCTCTCTACTATACGAGGTGCGATCTTAGCCAGGGTGAATATGGCTGGGTATTCTCTAGCATTACAGTGAGCAACGTTATAATACAACCCAGGGGCGCATCTGTGCAAAAGTAAAAATGAAAGTACATGTCATATCTGTCTCGTGTTTGTGCAATATCGACGCGTAACAGTTATCTGTCGGTGTTCGTATCGCGTCAGGTAGAAGACCTACCATCATGTAGGGAACATCGTTAATATTTTGGGTTTATCGACGCAAAATCGAAGCAAGCGTTTCGTCAAGGCAGTTCGAGCCAAGTTACAATTGTGTAATACTGAGCACGTCACTGCGCATACACGCAACGCATTATGGGAGAGAACTCCTCGCAAAGTAACAAGCAAGAAGGAAACTATTTTTTACCAAAGTAATTAATGCAAAAATGCAAATTCTTATCATTTAGCCTCTGATTTGTTTTACTCGAACAATTTTCAGGTGACTCCATTTTTCATTTTCGGTATCCCGATGGCAAGTAATTTGTAATAAAATCACGGCAAAGATAGAATATAATCTCTAACTCTGATTCATTTTAGTTTAGGATTGGTGGGACCGTTGTTTTAAAGGATCCCGCCAAATTTAGAGGACATCCCTGCACGCGTGGGCATGCGCAATAACATATTAGCTAAAACCTGCTATTCACATCCGATATCATGATAAAATAATTGTTTGTTACTGCTTATTTAAAGCGGGGAAGTCGTCACCTGTGCTTTTAGCGTGTGTTGTTATCGTCGCTTGGGACTCAATTCCCGCGCGTGCGCAGGTGACGACCCTCCCACTTTAACTTTGCGATTCGTCTCGCAATAAAACAGCTTATATACAACGTTGTCATAGCAAAGTGCAAGCTTGTGATAACCAGTCGGCAATATATTATTTATCAGACATCACATGGCGGTTGGCACAATTGTAAACAAATGACGTCACGTTACAAGATGTTACTTTGACTACAATCAAATAGGATGGTGTCACCCTAAACAAAATGCCTGTTCAACCACTTTCATCTCGTTTGGCATTGATTAAAGCGCAGTGGTCGTCGCGCAGCGCGTGTTCGAATTTCATGTAAATAAAATAAAACACTGTATTTTACATGCGTTGTATACGTCGCTACGAGTCGGCATATCGAACAGGACGCGACACGACGACTGCCGTCCTTTAACATACACATAATCCAAAGATTAAGAATAGTGTGATCTGAAATAGTATATGAATTTTGGAAAATTCTTACCTTTCATTTTTTCATGCGTTAATATTTGTTTTTTTATTTAAAAAGAATAGATGTTTTCTTTTAAATTATGAATCTGTAAATACCAGTTTGTATATGCGATTTTCTATGATTTGTCTCACCGCCATTTTTATTTGACTTGCAAAACTAAAAATTTAGAATCATACAGAATTTCCCATAACAATTTTATTGACGTGAATTTTACAATTTTGTATCCAGATACGTCATGTTGACGTCATAGAAGCGACATGTTACTTAAGAGCGTGATTTTTATGAATAATGTAAGAATGATTGCATTTACAGCCAAAACAAAGTCAGCTTGGACTTTCAGTTGCGAGACGTGACAAAACAAACACATTTCAAAAATACAAATACAAAACAAACACATTTCAAAAATACAAATACAAAATAAATGCAATCAAAGGCGCCGACCACGCAGGTAGGAAATAAATAGGACACGTTGTTACACAGTCTCGCCAGTCTCTTCCACTCTGGTGATATAATTATGCTATTTCCCAACGCACTTATATTTAATACATTGATAAAAAAAAAAACGCAAGAAAAATGTAAATCAGTCTTGTAATTACTAGTAACTCAACTCGAACGCAACATTGATCCTTGATCGGCGTACTCGTAAATGATCGAGAAAATTTGCCATTTCAAAGGACACTCCGATAATTGTCTGCGATTGTGTGAACATGATGACGTGCAATCAAGGAGCATAGCTTAGCGATAGCAAAGTTAGATAAATACAGCTGTTGAAAACAGAGACTCCTTCGATCTCATATGTTCAGATTCACGTGGATGTATCATTTTCAACTATTACAAACAACACTACGATAAAGACTTAATAATACGCACTTCTCCAGGCAGTACTAGAGATTATTGCAGAAATAGCAGGTGTGTGCGTTTGAGTGAGTAAAAGAGGCAAGTTAGATTCCTTGCATCGTACGAATCGCACGGTCCCGTGTTTTAAGCAGTGAAATCTGATTGAGCGCCTCGAAACATCGCCCCAATCAGCTTGGACGTAACAAATTATAAAACAAAATTCCACTACATGTTTTTGTCGCTATGAAGACATCCTTCACACACAAAACTGCGTTGACTGCCTGTACCTGATAAGGCTTGAGGGCACCAACACCAAAAACTTTCGCAATGTTATCATCACAAACATCACGATTCATGGGCGCCGTCATTTTGTTTAAAATGAAACGCCAAAGAGGGATTTGTAACGCACAAACTGATTGGACAATGATTAGCCGCAACTGTTAGAATACGCATATTTGATGGTCGTTCTACCAATGTCTGTTTAGAGGATGGGCCGAATAAACATAGACCTTGGCTAGCGAAGATGAGCAGGTGTTTGCGTTTGAGTGTGTAAAAGAGGCAAGTTAGATTCCTCGTCGCAACATGTTCTATTTATTTACAACGCGCGTGGTCGGCGCCTTTGGTTGCGTTTCCTTTGTTTTGTTTTTATTCTCGAATTGTATCACTGGCAGTGTTTGTTTTGTCATGTTTCACAACTGAAAGTCCAAGCTGTAATCAACGTTATTAACATAATTAACTAACCTTTCCCCTGTTTGGTTTCTCCAATGCACAGCCACAAAAGGCTTTCCATCGCATATTTTTTCAAACACCGAGTCAACCAATTCACGAATATAAGGAGCGAAAGAAAGATGCTGGTTTATCAGAGAGTTGAGTTTACTATCTTCGGCTGTCTTCATCCATTGAATGTCTTGATCCAAATACAAAGCTAAGCATCTTTTATCAGAGATCGAGCTGAGAAAATTCTGACTGTCTTCAAGAGACGATGATTCTTTAGCGCTTTTAGTTACAGGATAACGAGCGTTGATATCACGAAATGCTTTCTTCATTGCGATATATCGGTCGTAACCGCTGAGATTTTTGTCTTGAACGAAGTAGTACGGCTTCCATAGTAGGACCGGGTCCGGTTGAAATTCATTTTGACAATCGCCGTAGAAGTCATCCAACGACACAATGGAAACAATTTCCTGTAGTTTCTTCACATCGAATGTCTCTTTCAGTGTTTTCATGGCAAACATATTTAGTTTATCTTCCGTTCTGGAATACACACGAAACGGAACCGAAACAAGAGCACGTTGTTGCAAAAGAGCCAGTCGTAATTCTATACGGAACATTGAGAATGCCCAGTCTGGTCCGGAATCAATGTACGAATGGAAGGGGGCAATGTATTTTTGATTGCTCGTGTATGTTTTCTCGTCAGCAGGTGCATGGGCATGTAATGTGCTCGCTTCTGTTTGCGTGTGAATGCCTTGGTCCATCTGTTGGGCATGTGATAACGCTTGGTTAAAACGGTCTAGCTCTGCTGATCGTTGGTCAGGCTGGTCAAGCTCTGGCGATCTTTGGTCAAAGCTGTTCACTTCTGGTAATCGTTGGTCTAAATCAGCGGCTGCTGGTAACGGTTTGGTAATAGTACTCGCGTCTGTTGGAGGTGTGCCAAGGCGTTGTTTTTCTGGTAATGACTGGTCAAATCTGTCTAGCACAGGTGATTGTTGGGCAAAACTATTCACTTCTGGTAAACGATTTTCAATACTGTTGACGACTGGTAATTTATTTTCGATCTGGGTTAAAGGTTTGTCAAACTGGTTTAACTTTAATTGTTGGCCATATTTGTCTACATCCGATAACGTATTGTCAAGCGTGTTCACTGCTGGTGAATTGTTGTCAAAATTGTTGACCACTCGTATTTGATTGTTAACATTTTCTAACTCTGTTAAAGGTTTGCCAAATTTGGTTAACCCTAGTAATCGTTCGTTATTAAGATTGTTAACCATTGGTAGCGGATTTTCAACATGTTCTATCTGTGTTGAAGATGTGTCAGGTTGTGTTAAGTCTGGTAAATTTTGTTCAAATCTGTTTGCCTCGGGCAACCGGTTGTCAAGCCTGTTCATTTCTGGTGATGGGCTGTTAAAATTGTTAACCATTGGTAGCGGATTTTCAACATGTTCTATTTGTGTTGAAGATGTGTCAGCTTGGGTTAACTCTGGTAATCTGCGGTCAAAACTGTTCACTTCGGGCTGGTTGTCAAGCGTATTCACTTCTGGTAATCGCTTGTCGAAATTGTTAACCACTGGAAATTGGGCACCAAAGGAGTTTGGCTCCGTCAATGGCTTGTTTATCGTCGGTAATTGGCTGTCATCGTTGTGTGTTATTGGTATTTGGTTTTCCAAAATATTTACCACCGGCAACTGCTCGTGAAACTGTTCTAAACCTGGTACTTGAAGGCGATCTTTTGGTTCAATTTCTGAACGGGCTCTTTCTGCGTAGTTGCCCGTATCTCCTTTACCTTGTCTAAGTATGGCAGCTTCCGTGTCACCGGTCTTGTACGAAGTCCGCTGATTAATGAACCAGTCACCCTGTGATGAAAGAAACAGAGTAGACAGTCAGTATAATCTCTAAATGCAAATATCCTGATTGAAAACCCGTGGGCGGCAACCCTATTCTTCGCGACGTAAACGGGGCGGCAACCCCATTCTTCGTGACGTAAACGGGGCGGCAACCCCATTCTTCGTGACGTTAGAATAAATGTACTTGGTTAATGAGCACAATTCAAACACCACGACTGTTGTGAAAGGAACCAACGAAGAACAACTTATTAGCGTAGTGGTTCTTGTGCCGTGTTTATTAATTGTAGTTAGCTAGTTTAATCTTCGAGTTTTACCACTGAATAAAGGGCGACCGCAAAACCGGTTGGTCCACTTGGTCGAGGCGAAAAACTGTGCCCCAGATTTATTCCCTAGCAGATGAGACTTGGAGAGAGTCGTGCTTAAAGCGCCACATCTCCACGCAAATAATTTATATACACGCGTTGTGTATGCGTCGTATGGGACCCATCAGAATCGGACAGAGCGCGCTGCGATGACTATGATGTAGGCTATCGCCAATATGGTTTATGCGGTAATAAACAGGGATAATTACAACAATGTCGGAAGTCTAGGCATCGCATCACATCACTAACATTCAAAATATACGTTTTAGGAGAAAAGTCAGCATACACATACATACACATGTTCTTCAACAGTATTTTATTTTCACTTCACTGAGTACAGATATCAAAGCGAAGAAGTCGTCGCCTGCGCATGTCTCATTCTTTACAAACAAGCGTCTATCCACGAGCCTTTGCGTTTTAGCGTGTGTTGGCATCATCGCTTGGGACTCAATTCCCGCGCGTGCGCAGGTGACGACCCTTCCGCTTTAAAAAGAAGTATGATAACGTTAGAATGTTTTTAAATTACGTGTACTAAATATGAGACATTTGGCTTTATATTCTGGGTTCATTAATTACAGTGTGTAAACAACAAAACTAATACGAAACATGTGACGTTCTTATCGCAAGTATAGCCAATGCCGGAAATTCAGCGACACAATGAAATTCATAATATCATGTTGGCCCGTTATGGACACGAAATGCTGCTACGAGTGTTATCGCTACCATACGGAGACACATCACATTCTGCCTTCATATATATATACGATTCCACTCGATTGGAGAAATATTGTTTTTCACTTCTTATAGTTTATTTCATTTTAACTATTTTTTTATCATTTAATTTGTGTTTTTATTATATACGTGTTACCGTATGTTTGTTGGATCCCGCGATTACTAATACTTTAAATACAACACTTCCGAAATATGAATAATAAATATACACTTAGAAAAAAAATATCCCAATGGCTGTACATTTTACAGACGGGTTCAAACTAAATTGTGCTCACATATATAGTTGATAGGAGTAATTTGATTGGGCGATTGCTGTTCTTCGATCAAATTGATATCCTGCAATAATCATGGGTCACATGGGCTTTCTGCGTTCATGAAAAAATAAGATAAATAAAATTAACTGAATTAATTGTACAAATCAATCGCAACTCGAACCAATATCAGCCCCCCCCCGAGAGTAAGGTCGTCGTTTTTCCGACCTTCAAACGTTATGTTTCATCGATTAAACAAATAGCGTATCGGTCAGTATCCCGGATGTCATCACAAAGGTTACAAGATTAGTATGTACAAGAAAATTACATATGCAAATAGTTGTGATTTAATGCGGATCGGAACACTTCATGGTGAACACTTGTGAAAATTCAATGTTACCTTCAGTGTATGAAACGTTCCTACAGTAAAGTATTTTCCTAAATGTCACTAGCGAGTTCACTGGACACTTTACATTTTTTTTTTCCATGAATTATTTACCTCACATCCCAATAGACGCAAATGGCGCATAGATATCGTTGAGAGCGAGAATCTCACGAGACGTGCTGTATTCTCGGACATCCAATGTGCCAATTGTTGCATGGTTACATAGATCAGATGCACGGTGGTACGCGTGAACGAAACACTTGCTAAAGTGCAAAAACAATGTTCGTGACTTTCTCTATCGCAGCGATATCTAGGCGGCTTTATTGCGATTTGTTATATCGCCACGTTAAACACTTTAATACAGATTTAATTAAGTAATCGCAAACAAAATATATTTATTTCATGTTTACCAAATATTCAGTATCACACTTTGGTAAACACGATGCCAACATGTGTGCATCATTGCTACTGCATGGTACGCGAAAATTAATGTGTGCGTGACCACGTGCTCTAGTGTAATTATATCATATTGAAGCGCCCTCTGCCGACACACATTTCTTTCACCAGATGACCTGCAACACCTTAGGCATGCCGGGTACGCGTGGTAGCGGCACATTCTTCCTTCCTTTGGAATTTCGCATACGATACACTGATTGTGTCCAGCTCGATTCTCTCCAGCCGATGAACAAGTCAGCTCCTAAGAATTAAGAAAACAAGATGAGATGAAAGTACAAAATAGGGTCAAATGATTGCCAGTAAATAAGGTAGACAATATCAATTTTAATTCTGACTTGTGGCAGGCAGACGATACGAAAATAAACCTGAATATATCTTGTATATTAGATTAGTTTTGGCGTGTTCCTTAATTTAGTATTCAATTCAAATTTGCTCACACCGCCCTCTAGTGGCGAAGGCATTTGAGGTGTCAGTGGGTGAAATGAAGGCCGGCTACAGCGTGGAGAATACCTTTTGTTTGATTTGTGTCAACCGATGTGGGAGATTTAACGAAGTTGACGAACGACTACAAACGAACGAAACTGATTTCACTGTCTTCGCTACTTCTAGATCTGCTCTCCACACAATCCCTTCGTCGAATCGGTGCGAGTTAGTGGAGTTGGTAACAGGTTTACGAGAATCTGAAAAACAGTTGCTTACTGACTGCTATTTCTTGTTCCAGAATCGATATCGCATACACGTCATCTCTGTGTTTTGATATTTCCGGTGACAATTTTAATACGTGACTCAGTGTGACAGTGTGCGGGAACTTTGCAGCAATTTTGAGAACAAATTCCTGCGAGATAAGAAAAAAACGTACTGAAGTAGTGCATGAGCATGGTGAACAAATAATGTATACGACGTTTAAGTGAAAGCCATTGCGATACTTGTTCGATTTTCCCTGTCGGAACTCATTTTATTATTCATAACAGTCGTCCGTTTCGAACTCCTGTCTGGCTGCTTCACCAGTCGACTGGAATTACTCTTATTATACTTTCATTTACTAACAATGTCAAGATCTTGATCAGATCAAAGTTGTTATGTATATGGGTTTATTGTCTTGATTCAAGATGTGTTGTCTCATTTTAAGACTGTCCAATATTCCCATTGGCAGATCGTGCGCCTGGCCTTGTCGATTACAAGGTCCAAGTATGTGACGATAAGTCATAATCGTACGTAAAATAAATCTGGTATATTGAATTTATGCTGTTCATGAGAATTATTAGTTTCTTCTTGAAACATGTGTATATTAGAAAGATGTCTTTACTGAATCGTAACCACATATATACGTCTGTGTGGAATATGTTACAAAATGTATATACATTTTTCCCAGATTATGTAAATTAATGTCGGTACTCGGAAATAAGTGTCAGCGTGAGATCTTCGCTCAGAATCGACGACCTGATTACCTATTCAGTATTACTTTGATAGGTGAATGGATTACGTTGGCCCGTTTCAAAGCAGAATTTTCGGCCGGAGTTTTAGGGTAACCGTCGGTTGTCAACTGCATTGTGGGCGCCACAAACAAGTTATTGTGTCATGAATATGAACATAAAAATGTTTGTGTTTTTTCTCGTGTATGTTTGCAAAACGTTTGCAATAAAACCCAAATAAAACACTCTGCGCCGACGCGTGGGAAATTTCCGTGAATGGGATTTGTATTAAATACCGTTGAGGGCGGTCTTCCACCCACCTGTGGAATGGGAGGGGAGGCTATATACACACACTCGTACTTCTCCACGTCCAAATAATCTAATAACCTTTGAACCATCAAGTCCGTTAATTGGGACATGATTTGAATGTTGAGTGAATCTTCCTCTTTGCATGCTCGCTTCGACCAGTATCCACTCTGCAAACAGCTGTGAAAATAAAGCACCCATTTTCATTATTGATTTTTTTATGATAAATGTGGGGAAAACTAGTGTGATTTAGATAACATTTTGAAGGACAGTGTTTGATATTTCACCCATTTTGGAATGCCGCCCTTATTTACTGTAAAGCATGTCTTTTTAGCTGGCATGTTATTTTTACTAGTTTAGTTAATCCATAATTTCATTAATTCAAGATATCGCTAAGTGAAAGGAAAGTATATTCTCACAATAAGATTGTCGTCACTTTAGCTGAATTAGGATTCTGGTAATTCTTGCTTTGCGACATGTATGCACGCTGTAAATTATGACGTTACGGTGCCAGATGTATAATAATATACGATAATACACTGTTTTAAATAGTGGAGTCGTATTTTGATCAACCCCCACAGTCGTCGATGACGGATGAAAAGAAACAACATTTTTGCACGTCTCGAATGACCTCTTGACATACACATTTTGCCCCTATCAATTTAGTCCCGAACCAACGATTCTAATCTCATTAAATTCCATAGAGTTACTTTGTCATTTATTTGTATTGACTTCCACTTTGCCACAGTACAAAAGAAATACAGTAAATACAAGAGAACTGGTGATGGTTGTAGAACCATAACTGCCTCAGCTCAAGACTGTTATGTAATACAGGGGAATGTAAAGGGAAATGTATTGTAGTGTTACCTCTGTGTAATTTACAATATATACGCATTAACCTTCACTATTAAGGACAATATGGGAGTAGAAGTAAGGCTACGCAAATTTGCGAAATATTAGTTAGTTAGAATTACCGGACATTGTGGGATATAAAGAAGTGGCATATTAACCCAACAAACATACTCGCACATATCCATACATGTCTTATTGTGTGGGGGAAAGCTGTCGTGTACACAATCATAATAACTGGAAATGGTTTCACAACAGAAAACAAGTGTTATTGCTGTCAATAATTATAAACAATAAAAACTGAAATTTAGAAAGACTATG